AAGATTTCTGTCAGAGTAACATTTAACATAAGCCAATGATATCCCACACTCGGGTCTTAAAGATTTCTGTCAGAGTACCATTTAAGATAAGCCAATGATATCCCACACTCGGGTGTTAAAGATTTCTGTCAGAGTACCATTCAAGATAAGCCAATGATATCCCACACTCGGGCGTTTAAGATTTCTGTCAGAGTAACATTTAACATAAGCAAATGATATCCCACACTCGGGTGTTAAAGATTTCTGTCAGAGTACCATTTAACATGAATCTGTTTGGGAAGTGTTTAGACTGGAAGTAATCAAAGACGTAAGATAAATAAATTCTGTGATTACATCACAAATATAAGGTAAGTATATTATGTGTATCAAGCATCATTTGTGAAACCAGGACAAGCATTAATTACTGACCGTAGTACAGAGTATAAGTCTAGTGGTGACATTTCATTGTGATAGTCACTTTAAAGAGGCTTTTCATTGGTTGTGATATCAGTGGGAAAACCACCTGCAGTTGTAAAGACCTTAACCCCTAACAAAGACCTAAAACCCTTAATAAAAATGTAAAACCCCTGAGAAATGTGAAACCCATAATAAAGACATCAAACCCCTAACAAGGGCGCAAAACCCAGAATGTAAAACCCCTAACAAATTGGTTAAACCCCCTTACAAAGACGTAAAACCCCTAACAGAGATACTTTAGTTGGAGAAAAGGTTTCAATTTTACAGATTTGGCCTTACATCAAGATGGCTTATCTCCAAAAATGGTTTAGGATTAAAACGCGAGCTTGTCACTGGTAAAATAGGGTGATTAGTGCAGTATCATTGGCTTGTGTTATGGTGATTCAATCACTTCTATTTTCCAGCATACTGATTTTCGCATTCAATAATTCTAGAGTCATCGATTGTGAATTTAAATACTTTGCAAATATATTTATTCAAAAGATTTCAACAAGCAGTTGATAACTTCTATTAAGAAGTTAAGTTAACTGTTAAGGAAATTTTGAAAATGAAGTGATTTAGTATGAATGCTAGTTTTTGACTTTGTGATTAGAATATTTATCATACCTTTTGTATAATAATTGTATATCTGTTAGATCATCAACCATTTAATCAACAGTGTGGGAATATTTAGATCTGGAGGAACGTGATTGTGATACATATACTGTAGATTTCTTATATTTTGGGCACACTTAATTTTGTGAACTGACCTTATAGTACTTAGTCGCAAAGTCAATAAATTGTGTTTCTCTCAATGTGTTGAATATTCATGCATCCTAAACTCACCTGCATTTAGACAAAGACAAAGATCTAACGAAATATGATTAATCTACAGTATATCCTCATAATTCTGTGAGGCATACAAGTCTGTCCTGATGTAATGTACAGTGATGTTCAAGCTTATGTGTGTTTGTCATTGGAATCAATGACAGTAGCATCAACTAAAATTTGTTTCCATTTCATGTTTTAATCTGGTTAGAGCTCAATAAATTACTTCTATTTTGCAAATCCTTTTCCTTACTTGTCATGTTTCCCTGTTTTGATAAAATCTACAAAATCTTTTGCAGACATTTTTGATTTTTTAACTCAGCACATTTCCTATTTATTTTGTTGGCTCCAATTCATTTGCTCATTCACCCAGAGTGAGTTGCTTCCTTATAGACCCTATCTTAATGAAGCTTATCTTAACTCACTGTTGCTATTAAAATCCATGTCACCACAAATGAAGGTGATTGCAAAATATAGGCAATTTAATTAAATAATTCCTTTCCTCCTACTCAGCTGCAGGAACATAGCTCATTGTCCGATTTGATTAATAATTTTGATATTTTATGTTATCAGCCATATATATAGATGTATGGTATTCAGCCAATTAAAAGCTTGTGACTCAACAAATTGGAACAATGCTAAATAAAACTTGATCAGACAATGAGGTACCTTTCCTGCAGCCATTACTTTATAAAACTCAGCCATGTCCTAATACATCGTCAGTGGCAGATCCAGGGATTAACCAGGAGTTTCAGGTCTATGTGACTGAAGATCGTTCTAGGTTTTCATCTTCAAAAAATTCAATGATTTCTTTTCCTCAAAATTAGTTCATCTGGAAATGTCCTGACTAATCGCTGGATCTGTCTCTCTCCTGTTCTCCTGTCACTGCCTTGGGTTTGTTCCCTGGTCTGGCACTATTCACTGATCATGAGAGTGAGGCTCTGGTACAATGTCCATGCTAGAGAGTATCTACTGGTTACCCCTCTATCTGGTAATGAGAGTGAGACTCTGGTACAATGTCCATGCTAGAGAGTATCTACTGGTTACCCCTCTATCTGGTAATGAGAGTGAGGCTCTGGTACAATGTCCATGCTAGAGAGTATCTACTGGTTACCCCTCTATCTGGTAATGAGAGTGAGGCTCTGGTACAATGTCCATGCTAGAGAGTATCTACTGGTTACCCCTCTATCTGGTAATGAGAGTGAGGCTCTGGTACAATGTCCATGCTAGAGAGTATCTACTGGTTACCCCTCTATCTGGTAATGAGAGTGAGGCTCTGGTACAATGTCCATGCTAGAGAGTATCTACTGGTTACCCCTCTATCTGGTAATGAGAGTGAGGCTCTGGTACAATGTCCATGCTAGAGAGTATCTACTGGTTACCCCTCTATCTGGTAATGAGAGTGAGGCTCTGGTACAATGTCCATGCTAGAGAGTATCTACTGGTTACCCCTCTATCTGGTAATGAGAGTGAGGCTCTGGTACAATGTCCATGCTAGAGAGTATCTACTGGTTACCCCTCTATCTGGTAATGAGAGTGAGGCTCTGGTACAATGTCCATGCTAGAGAGTATCTACTGGTTACCCCTCTATCTGGTAATGAGAGTGAGGCTCTGGTACAATGTCCATGCTAGAGAGTATCTACTGGTTACCCCTCTATCTGGTAATGAGAGTGAGGCTCTGGTACAATGTCCATGCTAGAGAGTATCTACTGGTTACCCCTCTATCTGGTAATGAGAGTGAGGCTCTGGTACAATGTCCATGCTAGAGAGTATCTACTGGTTACCCCTCTATCTGGTAATGAGAGTGAGGCTCTGGTACAATGTCCATGCTAGAGAGTATCTACTGGTTACCCCTCTATCTGGTAATGAGAGTGAGGCTCTGGTACAATGTCCATGCTAGAGAGTATCTACTGGTTACCCCTCTATCTGGTAATGAGAGTGAGGCTCTGGTACAATGTCCATGCTAGAGAGTATCTACTGGTTACCCCTCTATCTGGTAATGAGAGTGAGGCTCTGGTACAAAGTCCATGCTAGAGAGTATCTATTAGTGAGTCTATGTATCTGTACTGTATGTTACATCACAGAGACAGAGCTAGATGTCCTGGGATGTAACAGACACAATCATTGCCTTTGTGTAACCATAGTGTTTTGACTTTTATAATTACCGGTAACGTTTGAATTTTTTGTTCCAAAACTGGAAAAATCAATTGCTTTTATTGAAGTTGCAGATGTTTCGAAAAATAAAAATCTTCATACATGATCATTTTACTCATTAAATTACATGTTTTATCATAATTTATGCTTGCAAAATGGTATAAATAATTAGTGGTGACCAACTTTTTGTGACTGAAATTATTCATCTCATAAAATAATTAATCTTAAATAGTTTTATAATTTGAAACAGATTTGAATATATATGGTTAAATATCACAGTCTCCAATATCTTTGTTGGATCCTGATCAATTACTGGGCAGTCAAAATAAGGTACAAAATCGTGAATACCAACGAAATTATGCTTCAACGATTTTCACCAATATGAAAGTATTAATCCGATTTCAGAACAGTTTTAGTTTTAAACTGTTTTATTGTCGACATACAGACTTGGCTCTCTATAAATTCCATAAAGAGCTGTTAATATCAATAATTCTACAGTGTCGTAAATAATTTCAATCCCAGGTTACAGAGTTCCCTCTACCAATGATATATAGGGAAAAAAGAAGATTTTCTATTTGTTATATTTTAAATATTGAAGAGAATAAACCATTGACCAATTTTGATGCGCATCACCAAATGGTCATTATGGGGTAGATTTATGTAACAACTAGTCCTAACATGGGCATCTTTTTACCTATTATGTTTATAGTTTATATTAATGTTTTTAGGATTATAATTTTTTGCAACATCTGTGATATACTTACATTTAACAAGAAGTTTTATGAAATCGTGTACATTTTTATACTTTATCTATACAATTTGTACTGCTCATGTATAATCAATTGATAGTATGTATGAAATGTTTATACAATTTGTACTGCTAATGTATAATTAATTTATAGTATGTATGAAATGTTTATACAATTTGTACTGCTCATGTATAATTAATTTATAGTACGTATGAAATGTTTATACAATTTGTACTGCTTTTATAGTGACACAACATATTTTTTCTAGTAAATGAAACAATTTGAATGTTGAAATTTCTCTTGTTTATCATCCGTACCCATGTTTTGTTAAGAGGTTATGACAAACTACAGACAATTTTCTCTCCATACTTTTACTCCAGATCTATCGGACATAATAATACAATTACTATGTACTTAACCCAACAGGTTCAATGATAAATTTTCTTCTGGAGGTCATTAAACACAATGTTATCTTCTGGAGGTTTTTAAACACAATGTTATCTTCTGGTGGTCATTAAACACAATGTTATCTTCTCGAGGTCATTAAACACAATGTTATCTTGTGGAGGTCAAAAACACAATGTTATCTTGTGGAGGTCATTAAACACAATGCTATCTTCTGGAGGTTTTTAAACACAATGTTATCTTCTGGAGGTCATAAACACAATTTTATCTTCTGGAGGTCATTAAACACAATGTTATCTTGTGGAGGTCAAAAACACAATGTTATCTTGTGGAGGTCAAAAACATAATGTTATCTTGTGGAGGTCAAAAACACAATGTTATCTTCTGGTGGTCATTAAACACAATGTTATCTTCTGGAGGTTTTTAAACACAATGTTATCTTCTGGAGGTCAAAAACACAATGCTATCTTCTGGAGGTCTTTAAACACAATGTTATCTTCTGGAGGTCATAAACACAATTTTATCTTCTGGAGGTCATTAAACACAATGCTATCTTCTGGAGGTTTTTAAACACAATGTTATCTTCTGGAGGTCAAAAACACAATGCTATCTTCTGGAGGTCTTTAAACACAATGTTATCTTCTGGAGGTCATAAACACAATTTTATCTTCTGGAGGTCATTAAACACAATGCTATCTTCTGGAGGTCATTAAACACAATGCTATCTTCTGGAGGTCATTAAACACAATGTTATCTTCTGGTGGTAATTAAACACAATGTTATCTTCTCGAGGTCATAAACACAATGTTATCTTCTCGAGGTTATTTATAAACACGATAAACAAAGTATACATATTTCTTGTCAAGCTTGATCTCAAGGACACCTTTAGCAGAGATTTTTGTCAGCCTGGACAGATTTAATAACAAACATTATAAAGGAAATAGGGGCTGCTTTCATTGATCGCAATCCAAACTGTTGAACCAGGGTTGTTCATGTATGAAATAAGGTCGGACCTAGTAATCTGATGCTGTTTTCAGGCGAGCCCTGCCAAAGCCTTGCAAGGCCTGCATAAAATGTTGCATGTTCACCAGGATTTATACCCAAAAATGTTACATTTAAAAACAGACAAATCTGTTGTTCCGCATAAACGAACAGTCCCAGGGTTGCTTGATTAATACTGGAGTGTTTTAATTCTTGAAAATAGGAGCTCATGAAGTTAATTTTCCCCGATTGTCATATTCTCAGTTCCAGACAGCCATCCTCTCAGCACCTTAATACATTGAACAGTTCATCCTCAAAGTTGAAGCTATCTGATTACATGGTAATGTTAATTTTAAAAGACACTGATAAACTTACCTGACTGTAAAATGCAAATAGCCTCATGGACCTGACAGGAGAGAAGAAGAGGAAAGGGACGGGTATCTCAATCATGTAGGTGGCCACACAGCTGAGCTTGAGGAACCACAGAGGTAGATGGTGCCACCACCAGGCTAGAAGTGTCGGAATACACTAGAACATCACAGAACAGACAATTCAACAACAAGTCAACAACAAATACGTCAATAACAACACCCATTCCTCCAGGTAAACAAGAGGCCCAAGGGCCTTAGCGGTCACCTGAGTTATATCATAGGTACTGGTAGCTTTATTTTATTGTTTAGAAGTAATGTGGAAATCAGCATGTAAACTAAGAGAAATACAATACTTGTCATGTCATCAAAGGATAAGAATTTTAAAATATTTGTAAATGTTCCCTTTGGGGCCCCGCTCTAACCCCTGGGGATGGGGCAGGAATTCCAAGTTTACAATGTGATACCGTCATCCACCAAAGATGATTCTGACCAAGTAAAAATAATTTCCAACAGAAAATTGTCAAAATATACCCAAAAGTGTTGTTTCCCTATATAAACTATAGTAAACTTTACCCCCTCCCCAAGGGAGAAC